GTGTGTGTGTGTGTGTGTGTGTGTGTGTGTGTGTGTGTGTGTGTGTGCATGTATACCTATGTGTACAATGCATAGCAATAAGAGGGGTGAAGGGCTTTCACATGCAAATATTATATATAAGTATGTATAACAAATGCATATGTAAGTAAGTACAGAGGGCAACATCATTTCGAACAAAACATGGCTGCGTAACCATTATTATCAGAGCAAGATCACAGTTCTCCAATGTCTCTCTCATTTATGCATTTCTCGTATCTCTGATTATATACCAAAATATTTGTAATTTAACATAAGACAATAATGTATCACTTTTTGCTTTCAACTCTATAGTCATGAAAGTCTATTAAGTTACCTACATCTTTTGCAGAGACTTGAAAAAACCGATCATAAAACATGAATATAATATAATCTGCCTGGGTTTTGTAATGCATTCATCTAATTTTGACACTTCCTAAGTACCATGTTGTTCCTGCCGTTAGAACGTCCTTTTATTTACTCGCAAAACATAGAAAGTGACGCAGCTACTAAAATGTTTATAATGGCATAATGAGGCTATGGCCTTGAGTTGAACATTGGGTAGCCACTGTCTGGCCGAGATTGACTTTAACGAATTTTCAGATAACTGTAACAAATATGTAGGCAAAATTTTGATTCCGACGTAGAAGTCTCGTAAGATTTTGCTGAACCTACTTTTGTGAGATCTATTCTCCACTTTTTAATCTCTGTCTACACCTATTGGAGTTTTGTAAACTACTCAGAACTCCATCAAGCAACCAAGCAAGGAATATGTCAAACGGAACTCAATTTCTTTGTTGGAAGAAAGGTTGATGAGAAGAAAGTGGCAATACAAATAAACGGACAGATACACGAACGCCAAAGAAACAGACGGAAAGGTAGAAAGATAGAAGAACTGATGAATGATCGGTTGGATATAAGATCACAAACAAACTAGTAGTGGAACATGTAGGCCAAAAAAAAAAACACGACAAACAAGAAATGCAAAACGAACGGAGGGTGGACGAATACAAAAACCAGCTGGAATGGACAGATGAAATGTAGAGATATAGAAGAATAATTTAATGGATAACTGAAATGAAGGTCAAACCGGCATAACATAAAGATCTTTGGATAGATGAAACAAAGTTCCAGGCAAAGTACTAGTCTGATAGCAAGAAGCTATAGCAATGGCGAAAAGGATTGTCGGGCGACTCGTCAAAAAACCAACCGAACAAGTTTAGAGACAATGTGATAAAAAGACCGAGAAAGAGAAGAAGAAATGCAAGGACAGAAAGCTGATTTTTTATATAATTCCCTCCCTGCTTTGTTTTACACAGACGGACAGAAGAATAAAACAACAAATGGGTGGATGGCCGTTGAGTGTATCGAAAACCGATCGGACCGCGAGCTAAATGTGAAAAGGAATAGACAACCAGCCATGCGGGAGAATGGGGTTGGAACTGACTGTAGAAAATTCATATATAATTTCTCCGCTATCTCTCGGTAATGATCATTAAACACTCTTAATTTGTTTAATTCTTCATATAATTATTTCCACTGCTCTCCCATAAAAATTTGCAATCAGTAGAAATCCCGACCTCTGGCGTATATTTCCCAATCTTACAACTTCGGCAATGTGAACAGCATGGCGAACATTTCTGCATTTTGAGAGAAGTGGGTTAGAGTCCGAAACTGATTAAATATGAAAATGCTCTGTGGAAATTTCAACGATGGCGTGTTAGAAAATGCAAACTCCCTATTTACAATATCTAACGGTTAATTCAACTAATGAAGACGTACTGCAATTAGAAATTTACTGAAGACTTCACCAATGTCCTCATGCTTACGCGAATACCGTTATGTACTATAGATAAGTTATTAATTGAAAGCGAAAGAAATCGCAAAAAGGACAACGGATAAGCACAATCTGATCGTACATACACATCATGATAAATAAACTTTTTTCAAAATTCAAAAATTCCCTAAGCGAAATTGCAATCTTTTCAGTATAAGCAAATATTATTTTACTAAAAAGTCCCTTTGCGGTACTTTAAGAATCTTTGCTCAAACCTCTGATATTGAACTTAGCTAAATTTATTACAATTTACTTAGTCGTGACTATCAATTATTGAACGTAGTTTTATTTATTTGCTGACTTAGGTTAATCGGCCTCTGACGATGAAGAAGGAAGGCATTCAGACACGTAACCGTAAACTCTCTTCAAAATCAAAAAAGAAAAAAGGTCTTGGAGGCGGCTGCTTACCAATGGGTGGTCATCTAGGTATGGGAGATTTTAAGCCTTTAGATCCTTCGAAAGGTTTCGGTGGCGGTTTTACCGCTTCAATGGGTAAGTTAACATATCAAAATCAAAATATATACATATATGTATGTATATAGTAATTTTTATTAACAGCTATTTATAAGAATGAAAAAAAAAAACAAAAAAAAATGGAAATTTTTTTTTAATCTTTAATATATTGTTGTTATTGCTTTTAAATATTTCCAGCACAACACGGCCATCTTTCCAGTGGTTTACATCCGGCACATGCGCATATGCACGGCGGTTGGTATACTGGCGGCATGGGAGCATTAAGTGCCTCTAGCGGTCTACAAGGTGGTTTTTCAACAGCTGGCTCATTGGGCGGTGCTGTTGTTCCTCACTCTCAGCCTTATCATTTAGGTTTGGGCTCAATGGTATGTACAAGCAATCACTTAATAAATTCAAAGTCATAAAAATCTTTCTCTACGTGGTTGCTCGTGTAATTTTTTTACATACATATAGATATTTATAGATAAATATATTGCGAGTATATATATATTCCATATGATAAAAATGAGCTCTATTAAAATAAACGAATAATATCGGTTTTTATTACTATTTTATAGGGCACTTGGCGCACAGATTATACGTGATGGAGTGGTAATAACTTAAATAATAATCTATTTAATTGAGTCGCAGAAACAAACAATGTTTCACACAAATCACACAATTGTCAGAGCAAACCATTTTTATCAAATCTTCCTGATAGACTTTTCATTGGATTGACGACATCCAAACTGCGTTCCTAACTGCGTTCAGTTATTATCATCAATGTGGTGGTATTTCATATGCAACACAAACTTTTCCACATAATCATGTGCAATTTTTTTAAACATATATTTTATTTAATTTTATTTTTTTTTTTCACTTTTCTTATATAAATATATATAAAAATATTTATGTACATACATACATACATACATATGTGTGCATCTGCATATCTGCATATGAATTTATTAAAAAAAAAAGAAAAAGAGAAGTAAAAAAAGAAAAAATTGTTTTCATTATTGCAAAACGTTTACTAAATGTATTTAAAAAGCAGAAAAAGAAAAACGAGAAAAAAATGCCATAAATCAAAAAACCATGAATTTATTTGAAATCTACTGTAAATACAATAATAAAAAAAAAAAAAAACGAAAAGAAAAGAAAAGAAAAAACCAACACTTATGTATATTTTAGTTAAATTTTATTTAAAACACAAAGAGAAAAACTGAATAAATAAATTAGACTAAAAAGGAATTGTAAATAACTGTACTGTACTGAAGTATATATATATATATATATATATATGTATATGTGTATATGTGACACAACCAACCACGCCTACTTTTATTAATTTTGTACAAAACAAGAAAAAAAACAGAAACGATGCAAACACACAAAACAAAAAACAGTCGGCATTAAAAACGATACAACGTCCAACTATTTAACAAACAAAACAGAGAAACGAAAGTGCATCGACTGCGGTTGCCAAAGCTCAGATATGTTTCACGCAAGAAGAAGAAGAGAATTTCTGCAAAAGTTCAAATGCAAATAGTCGACGACAGCCTATAAATATCATTGAAATGAAACTAAAATAGCAGCAAATCTCTCTCTGTAGCTTGTATGCACAAGCACATGATGGGCACACAGTTCACGGCAAAAATAATTGTGATTTTCTTTGAAGCAAAATTATTTTATTTTTTGTTCTTTTTTTCGTTTTCACTTTTTCACACAATTGCAATTGAGTTTAGCCGACAGTTGCTTAACTGCTTGAGTGTAGTTCCACCTATGGATTAAGATTTTTCGCCTAAAATCGTACAACTTATGACAATTTTCATCTTAATCGATTTCTATTAAATGCAAATAAATAACAGCTGATTATCAATTTGCACAACAGCTATTCTTATCAATTTCAAAAACAGTTGTTTGTTGCAAATTACGAAATAGTAGCTTTAAAGGTGCGGCTTGTAATGGTCGTGACAGCTATATAATAATTTTTAAAAACAAAGATAAAATATCGGTGAGTTTTCCATAGAAGACGAGATTCTTAGCTAAAGGTTTTCACCTAAAATCGGCGACTATTGGTTAATGATGTGAATAAAGAAACAGCTGTTTTGAAAATAAGGCATTTCTATGCCTTTCACTGAAAGTTACGTATTTCAAAATTCAATGTAAACATTAATCGTCAATGTGTATGGTTCAAGTTAGTGTTCTTGCAAAACTTTCTTCGTTAATTCTCACTTAAATAACGATTTGATAACTGAATACTTTCCACGTTGCTACAAACGGAACTACCAGAGTATGTTTTTTGAGATTTCATTTACATTTTACTCATCATCTAAACAAAGTTATGAAATTGGGAATTAAAGCCTAAATTAATTGAATTCATTCAAACTGTAAAGGGTAATTTTAACGTTAACATTTAAGTTAAGTTAAGGGAATATTAACCTTAATTTTGCCTGGAGGTTAAAATTAATTAAAAGATGGTTTTGAATTTTTAAGTTAAATGCTTGTTAACTTCAACTGCTCCAGCTAAGTGTAACGTAACTGCGTAGTTACAGTTGAGTTTAAAGTTACTGTTCAAATGAACTGACAGTTAAGAGTAACGTTCAAATGTACTAACAGTCAATACTGACAGTTAACAGAAAGTTAACTTTGACTATCCCTAACAGATAGCTAAGAAATGATTTCAATCAGGAATTAACTTTGGTTCGACTTAACTGGCCCATTAAACTGAAGCTAAGCTGACGTACTACTAAACTGTAAGTGGAACTTTATTTAACAGTACGCTAAAAAGGAAGACATTCACGAATTTAAATTCAAGGTTAAATTTAACCGTAACCTCAAGTGCGAGTTAAACTTTCAATTTATCTCTCATTGTTGGCGAATTGAAATCTCAAGTACGATGTTCCTTGATCGTAGCTATAATCAGTGATTAATTGATAAAGTCACAACACTTGCGGATTGGCCGCACACCCATTAAGCTATGGCCGCTATCTCCCTATTTCTATCTAAAAAAAAATTTAACTCTAAATTTATATATAAATATAAATTTTAACTGACAATTAATATACCGTAGGTCAATTTTAACTTGTACTTGCTGCTAAATGACATGTAGCTTTAATCGGCGGTTAATCTTATCTTTGCCGAACAGGTGCCTACAGCAATAATTCGCCTAATTTGTAAGCAAAATCTTAAATGGATCTTAACTGGAAACTGAGTAAATTCTTTATTACTTTTGGATTTTACTTTAAGGATAAGTTGAAAGAACTGTAAGCTTAACTTTGTCCAACCGTTAAAGCCATTATTAACTGAAAACTAATTTTTATTGGCGTTTAGGTTTAAAGTGAAATAATTCAAAACGGTACTTTATAGCGTATTAGCAGCTTGAAAATGATTAAGTCATTTAACTTTTTAAAGCAAAGAGAGGCGCTAATCGCAAATTTAGAAAGTGAGGATTGCTTTAATCCGCAGTTAAAGCTTTATTTAAAATTTGAGCAAGTTAACTTCAAGGTTGAACATCAAGGTCACTCATTTAAAAAACATATAAGCCAACGAGTTACATTAAGACTTCGGATCATATCTAATGAAAATTTATAAGATTTTTTAAAAATCCAAGTGAAACGAAAAAAGAAACATTTTGCTTCAGAAGAGACTATTACACCTACTCTAAATTTATGATCACGTCTACCTAACTATCACAGATAAGTGCATATTGATGTTTAAAACAGAAAATTTTATATCCATCATAGACGATTGCAAATCGATTTTGAGACTTCTTTGCCTGACGTACTTCGTCACCATCATCTTCTTGCCCACCCACCTGCATGTCTAGTATTTACATTTCTAAATTTATCTATATATATATATACTACACATGCAATAAGAACGTCATCTATTAACTGCCTGTAACTTATACGCAATGATGCTCACAACGTTCGCTTTGCCTTACAACTTAATTGCTTCCGAGCTTCTTTCCCATTATGACTCTCTTCACATAACTTTTATGTAAAAAAAGAACGCAGAAGTCTTTGTAGTGCCCAGAATTACGCGGTGGACAAGTCATAACGCATAAAAGACCGTCGTGGTTAATGCGAATAATGATTTGTTTGTCCGACAATATCTTGCACAGCTTTTTAACCATGACATCGATACAAACATATTATTGTGATGGTGGATATAATAAAATTCTGTAAATTGTAGAGATATGCATTTAATTTTTATACACTTGAATATCAAAATGTTAGTAAACAATAGTAGAATCATCGTTTATTAAAATTTGTAAATTTATTTATTGTAATTATACAAAAGTCTAATTGAAAAATATGCATTCATTGCAGAAAAAGAAAAAAAGAGCCTATAATATCGTTTATAACTAAATAAGAAAACACATTACATAATTGTAGTCACACGTTAAAATCTAAAAAATAAAAAACTATTGTAAAAAAATTCATTTAATTTAAAAGCAATCACAAAACAAAATATTTAAGTTTATCTTTATTAAAGAAAAAAGAAATAGACGAAGTATTAAAATATAAAATAAAAATAAATCAAATTTTAAAAAAATTTCAAACCTGATTTATTTAACAGCGAAAACGTGAAAATTAAATCGGAAAGTTACATAATGTACGGGCCTAAGTCCGTCTAGTAAGGAGCGGGGTCATCTTACTGCAAGATCGCATAGAGTTCTATCGAACCGAATCAAAAAACTAAGCTTCGAATTTGATCTCTGTATCGATGCAAATTTTAACGACAGGCCTAACTGACCGAAAAGCAATCGATTTTCCGATAAGATTCAAGTGGTAGTAATAAAATTTTAATCGCTTTAAAAAGTGTTTTTAATGTTGTTACGAACAATTTGCCGTTCATCGTTGATGTCGTCTAACCAACCTGAACTTTCAGTCAAGTCTAGTTCAATATTCGAGATAACTTTGCTATCCACTAAGCATCGTAAGTTATTGTGAAATTGTATTGAAAATTTTGGTTTTCTTATGTGCTTTCACTTTTGTAATCGGATCACACGGATAATTAGTAAAGTTGAAATTTGCTTCAAGTTTCGGTTTCCAATTTTAAAAGTTGGAAATTTTTAAAAGCCGGAGAAAATATGGCTGGGCCCTCGGGAGGTCTAACGGAGAGTTTGGTAGATCGAAGGATAGGAAATAGGATGGGTTTAACAAAATAAATGCGGACAGATATTGCCAACAAGAAGAACGAACAAAGGGAAGATAACCGAACACCGAACAGCTAGACAAAGACAGAGACAGTGGCACGGACATACACACGATGAAACTGATCGGGAACACATAAAAGGAAGAACGTTGCATGGATCAAGGTTGAGCGCGATTTAGTGATGCGTACGTGGTAAGGCAGAGTGCGATGTAGGGTTGCGTAGTTATCAGGTTTGCATACAAACCAGAATAGCAGATTTATGATAAAGCGAAAAAGATAGGAAGACGGACAAACAACTGAGCAGAAGAAATGAGTTAGCAAATGACGGAGAGACAGAGGCCTGAACGTACAGATGCATGAACAGACAGCAGAACTATAAGCACTGACGCACAATAGATGTATTAGCGGCAAGTAGTGCGTTATTTTTCGCCGGGTAATAAATAACGGGTAAATAGTCAATCAAACGAAAGAATGAACAAATGAGAAATGCAAATCTAAACGTAGCCGCCTAGAAGTGTAGAAGTTTAGACGCACAACGGAACAGACAGACGAATAAACAAAACAAGCAGATGAACGGATTAGACAATAGACGTTTGGCGTGGCATATAAAAGGACCACGAGCCAGAATATATTGCATTTCATATGGTACGTAATGGGAAAATTTCCTTTGGTTTACAGGAGAGTACAAGCTCAAGCTTTTCTAAAGTAATGTATAATCTTTATGCTACTATTTTAACG